TCGGCTGGAGGAACAACGAGAGGAACTGCCTCCCTTCAGTCGATCGATGCAGCCTCTCTCTTCCCCTCGTCTTCTCCTCCCAGCCGCACCAAGACGAGGTCTCGCAGCGCATCGCGCCATGGCAACCGCCCAGGGTTTCGAAGCAAAGATGCAGATTGACTCCGGTCTGGGGGAGGCAGATCGACCGAGCCGCTGGTGCAACCGAGCCCGCTTGTGTTCTCCGCATCGAGCAGACACACGCATAGGCACGCGCACACACCATATATGCATTCACAGCAGCCGCAGCCGCACAGAAAGGGGAAAACGCCAGATCCCACCGCAGACCTGACACGATTCCGCTGCAGAACTTAGGCGCCTCCCGCTCCTCGTCAGCCCACAATGCCGCTCAATCGTACGCCCGTCGACCGACGCTGGCTCCATCCTTCTGTTCCGTTTTTCCTTTTCCGGCCAAGAGTCTTCCTAACCCCCCGTGTTGCCATACCTAGGTATACTGATACGATACGACGTACCTGTCTTTGACCCGGCTTGTTCATCATCTGGGTCCAGCGGGGTTTGCTAAACTAGTTGGCTGCTTGGCGCTATCGCTGCTACCGGAACCGTTTCCTTACTCCCCCGCCCTGCATCGTTTGATATTCAAGTTGTGTGTATGTATTTATTCCCCGAGTGCCGTTCCCGCTGGCCCGCGTTGCCGCCCCCACCGCCGGCCACTCACCTGCGGGGGTGAGATGCTAGTCTTCCCGGTCTCGAGAGCATGCATTGTTCCAGAGGCACCCGACTCGCCATGTTGTTCAGGCACGATCCGGCGGCGGTTCTTGATACGGCAGAAGGGACAAGGGAAAGAAACAAGCTGCGAGAGGACGAGCAGAGTCGGCCTTGCAGCGGGTGACTCGCAGCGATCATGCACAGTTCCCGCTCTCCCCCCGCGTTCTTATCGACACAAAAACACACTCATTCCCGCTTTTATCCCCCTCATCCGCACCATGAACGGCGCCCTAGGTATTCTCGCGCTGCAGACTACACAGTAAACGATCTTCATTTGCGCGGGCGGGGAAGCACTCCGCCGCATCCGTGTATGGCTACATCCCGTTTTCCGCCCATCTTAGCGCTTCCTGTAGCTACGCCCGCCATCTCCCTTGATTATCGTCATGCATACGCGAGGTCCTACACCGCCGCTATTCACCTTGGCTGATTGGCAAATATCGCCATGGTCGCAGTGGACGAACCCCGGTCCTCTATCAGATGTTGATGTTTCCAAAGTGTAACCGCAAGCTTGTGCTCGCCCGGAGGGGGGCGCGGCGCTGGTGGCGTAAGGTGGTCCGATGAGGATACTCTCCCGTCTTCCCCCGGAAGCTTTCGCACAGGAGTGCTTGCCCATCTCCATCGGGTAATGGGCTCTTGAATCGCTTCTATGGGCTGTTTGCGCTCGGGGGCTTGACCCAAACGCTAAAAACAGAGCGCGCGTACCCGATGTGTCAACGGCAGAACGAAACGTACATTGAACCTGGTTTTCTGGTTAGGCTCACGGCATTTCCCAGTTGTACTTCTTTCTCTTCCCTGGCCCGCACGTGTTCCTGATGTTTTTTTCTCCATCTCTGCGAAGTTGGCAGAGAGGGTGGCGTGTGCTTAGAGAGAAGATGGGTGACTTGTTGGACAAACTTTGAGAGAGTTCGTCGGGACAGATTTGTCAGTTTCGCCTCGGGAAGTCTACAGCAAGTCGGGAGGATTATGTCGCGGTTGCGGCTCTCTACACACCGTTCGCAACACCCATGCCATACTTCGGACTGCCTTGTCACCATTCCGTCCGCCATGGTTGAGTCGCCATCACATGCCAACCCGAACAACGGTGCCCCGCAGGATTAGAAATGGTTCATGCTCGAACGCCCGATGCCCCTCTGAGGGGGTCGCTCATACCCTACGAAAGGTAGACGCAACAGACTTCCTGACAAACGGTCGAGACCTCTTCTCCTCTTGCTTAGTTATACACCTTGACGAGATATCGTGCAACCACGGTAGGTATCACCCCTCCTGAGAGGAAGCTTTTTGTGAGGATGACGGCACTTATCCGCTTCGATCTTGGGGCTCGGGGAGGGGCCGAGGACTCTGAAGTTATCATGTGAGATTCTGACACATGCTCGCAAACGCACGCTGACATCCTTCCTTTCCTTCCTCGATCTCGCTCCGATGTCACCCTCCCCTACTCTTACAGGAGCGGCCGCAAGGAGTTGCCGGCGAAGGCGGATATCCTCTCGGCTCGATATCGGAACGCCGCCCGGAGTTCCAAACTCAATCGTGGGGGAGGTTCCGACAACCCCTCTCTCCCCTTTCGATCCTGATCCCGTGAGGCCGCTTCTCTTGCCATCTTGCCTCGGAGCCTGGTTTGGCTTCTGCGTTTGTAGGTAGGTAGTCCCCTCGCCCGAGGAACGGACCCTCCCTTCCCCCCTCGGACGAGGGCGGCTTTTCGATTCGAGACTCGGCGCTGGGCCCAGAACCGAGAAAACTCTAATAACAAAGACAGTTCGCGGCGAGCGGCCGCCCCGGGGTGTCAACAGGTTTCGTTGCTATGACGTTTCTTTTACGCGGCTTCGCTCCTCGCCATGAGGTTTATTTTCTTTTCCGCAGATCTGATCTGACCATGATGGACTCAAGACGGGAAGGCCCTGCGGTTGGCTGGCGCCCCCTCTGGGAATCTAATAGCTCCCCTCGTCCCACCCCGAGGCAAACTAGGCCGAAGAAGATGATTTGAAGACGCATGCTCATGCTCATCCTAATCGATACAATGTGCTCTCGTGATTTTCACAGGCTCGAAACCCCGGAAGCTCAAGGAGGGAAGGAAAAGAAGGCGAATAGAAGGGAGGAGGGGGAGGAGGGGGAGGGGGGGAAGAAAATAAGTAGCGTCTTCATGCAGAGTAACTGGGTGGGTTTGGGTCCGGGTACACCATGGTCGCCTTGAGGAAGACGAGCACCTCGTACGCGGCCTTGGCCATGTCCAGCCTCTTCCTCTGCCACTCGGGCTCGCGCCACATGTTCCGCAGCCCGTTGTCCGCGACGAGCGTCACGACGAAGCGCACGTAGTGGTCCTCGGCCGCCCAGCCCGTCTTGTCCGGGCGGTAGACGAGGAACTTTGGCTCCCGGGCGTCGAGCGCCCGCCGCGCCGCCCGCGCCGTGCGGGTCTTGTCCGGTTCCGGGACGGCGCCGGGCGACCCGGCGCTGAGGAGCGCCAGGGATAGGTAGTCCGCGCAGAACTCGTCCCAGGACCCGCGCACGAACGGGCCGTCGAGCCAGTCGCGGAATGCCGCGGTGTCCCCGAAAGGCAGCAGCTCCATGAGCAGGCGCTCATGCTGGGAGGCCACGCGAGGGGCCGATGGGGACGGGGGTGAGGCGGCCGCGCCGAGGGCGACGGCAGCGGCAGTGGGCACCAGGGCGGCAGTGGGCCTCGGTGCCGTCCGGGGCGTCGGGGGCGGGGAGTCGAGGCGTCGATATGGGAGGTTCTTGAAGGGTGAGGCGATGGCTTGGGCGCGGTGCCTGCGCGGACGGGGGATGCACATCATGAAGAGCTAGCCGATGAGCTTTCTTTCGGGTTACGACGGGCTTCGTGTAGGCTGTGGCTGTACAGAGACACGTCTAGAGCCCGTCTGCCTGGCCGCGTTGGGAATCCGAGGCATATATGCCCTTCCGGCGTTATGGGCCGTTGCCCACCGAAGTCCACCTTGCACTCGGGGGGGCTCTTTTTCTTCCGCTTTGACGTCAACTAATACCTACCCTCCACCCTCCCCCCTTTTTTTCTCTGCGCTGCCTCCGGCGCTTTCTAGGAAGATGTGACTGCGCATTTTGGGGAGATATGTTCCTTTTTCCAGGCAGCAGGGCTGAAGCTGAGCGCCGGCGAATCATGGGGTTTGGCCCCAAACAGCTGCTTACGGCGCTTACGCGGCTTGGGACAGTGCCAAGAGCGAGACGCGTAGTGGGCGTCTTGCGCGTTGGGATCAAAGTCGAGGGGTTTTTTCGGAGCGGAAGGGCTCTTCTATAGGGGTCTTCTTCCGTGTTGCAATTCGGGAATATGTTCCCCTGTTTCTCTCTTTGCATCGTGTGATTTGGGATCTGGGGTTTAGGGTTGAGGCGACAATGTTCGTCTTGCCCTCGGCGGCGCAGGCTGGCTGCGCCCGCCTCTCCGAAACTTGCAAATTCCTCCTTGCCTGAGGCGTCCTAGTTGGCTTTTGCATGAATCGGAGCACAAATGTCGCGTAGCTATGGGTTTGGGGCTGTCTGTGGGTAGGCATCCTGTACAGCATTGTGTGAATGCCTAGGCGTGCACTTACATACACTCTAAATCATTCTTATACAAGTCCGGCCACTCATAATCATGACTGGACGGATGCATTGTAGCTTCGCCTGACCATAGACCCTCTGTTTGGCGGTGAAAATGCAGCGCATCAAATGGTTCTATGTCATGAAAATGAATCTGAATCCAAATGGCTGAATCTGGATTAGATGCGATGGGGGCACACGTGCCCCCTCTCTTTTGATCATGCCCATCGACTGTGCCAGTCAATCTTGGGAATCATACAATACCCATACTCGTATTAAGCTCTTCTCGGATGGAAATTCCATTTGTCTTCAGAAGGATCCTTCCGAGCCGTTGCCGTTTTGGTCAGTGTCATCAACCGTAGGGTATATCGGAGTTTTGTCGTATCAAGTTGTAAAACCGCACGGATGATCTATTTTCTCCCGTTAGGGATTCCACTTTGTATAGGAGAATATTTGTTTGTCATGATGAGTATCGTACGTAGAGTGTCTTATTGATATCTATCTATCTGTCTATCTATCTATATATATGGTCGTGAGTGCTACCTAAAAGGGTAGACAGAGGATAAGGGGGTCCTCAGTATATGTGTATAAATGCCTCAAGGCAAGCAACGCTCTTGAAAAAGTCCATATCTACCCAGGACATAAATGAAGATTTTAGGACTAAAGCCAGTCGACAAAGAGTAAGATGCCGCAAAAAGGGGCCGATCCGCGGTTCGAACGCGGGACTCTTGCTGAACTTCGAGTGAACCCAAAGCAAGGATCTTACCACTTGACCAATCGGCCAGGTTGTTCTTTGAATTGCTGAGAACACTTGCTTCGATTTGGTTCAGGAAGGAGTGGTTGAGTTGGATGGGAAAGTGCAAGGTTGGAGTGACGGGTGGCTGTGTGTTGATGTTGAGTCACCGGGCAAGAGAGACCGTGGGTGGGCTGGGCTCTACTCACAGTAGGTACAATGGAAACGGCAGTCAAAAAAAGGGGCCCCACTCATCCAAGATCCTATCAGGCATGGAAGGGAGCCTCTTTGAAGCCAGTTGCTCGGTGCTCATGCTGCCTTGATGACGGAGAAGCCGGCTTCGTCCTTGCCTCGGCGCAAGGTATGTCGCCAAAAGAATAGCCAAGAAGGCACCGAGGGCCTTTCGAGGACTAAGCATGGCGACTGCGGCTGCAGCCTATCATACAACATCTTGGGATTCATGTTGCTCTGATCCCAATCTCCCCTCTCGATATCCGGTGGACCTGTGACAACTTTTGTTGCAAAATCTCGCAATACCTCGACCGTAGTGACGACGTTCTGTGTGAGTATTCCGCCCATCATCCCATCATCCTTCACCGCTGACTCAGACTGAGCTAGAGACGTGCGGCTGCTTCTGCGTCAGTCAGCTCTGCTTCGAATAGCTTGGACTTGGACTGCAGCCATGCGAGAGCTTCCCCCCCTGCAACTCGACAGTATCGAAGCCGAGATGGCACCTGACAATGCGCAGGCTGGTCCTTCGAACCAGTCAGATGAAGACGTGAGCCACTCTACGGTCCAACCGGGCTCGAGGAAGCAGAGAATACGCCGCCGAATCAGATACCGTTTCCTCACCCCTTCGGAGTGGGCCATCGTTGCTCACGGTATCGGGGGCGTCAACGACACCGAGGGCCACATTGCGCTCCATCCGACTTGCTGGTACTACCCGCCCAAGGGCATTCCCCGTGGTCTTTACCAAGACGTCATCTGGCACCGTACCAAGTACTTCTACATGTACCATGGCATGAGCTCCATCCGATGGTTCTCGTACATCCTGCAAATCATTTTTGGTGCCGTCCTCACCGCAATTGGCTCCATGTCGTATATGGACGGGACCCCCATCACCATCATTGCGGCTGCAAACACTATAAATGCTGGCATCCTTGCACTCTTGCACAACAGTGGTTTACCCGACCGCTATCGCTCCGACCAGGCCGAGTTCGACGAGGTTGAAGACCACCTCAAGAAGATACTCGACACTGGCATCGTCCCTGAGCACATGTCTGTGGACCAAGCTCTGATTCATTGTTTCGATTTGTACCACGAAGCTAAAAAGACCGTCTCGGCAAACATCCCAGCAACTTACACCTCGAGCTCCGCGCTGTCGGGTGGCCCGCAAGGCAGCGAGCAGCAGAAGTCGGGCATGCCTGGACCAGCAACACCCACCGCAGCAAACTCGGTTATTGCCACCAGACTCTCTGTTGCTTCACCTAGGGTCGCTGCTGAGGGGGAGAAGTAGAGCGAATAGTAAAGGGTCGACTCGAGGCCATGTCATTGATATTGGAAGCCTGTTCTTCAGCTATATTACTCATTGATCAAGGGGTGGAAATCGGTGTTAGGGAGCCTCAAGGCGCACGGGAGCATTGAAAGCACTATTTACTTGACAAATCGTCGAGGAGGCAAATAGATTAGATGAATCCAAGCACGAATTATATCGACTTGAGTTGCAGACATGAAGCTGTGATGCCTCGGCGGAGATAGGGAGTCCTTGGTGGGGCAGGCGTGGCATGGCACAGCATGTCACCAATGACTCACCGCCTTTGGCAGAATAGTCGGACCCACTGAAATTTCTCTTGTGGACCAGCCGCAACCTTTGATTCAAGTGAGCCAAATTGAGGCCGACCCAAATTTTTGTGACCCATCCATCCACTCACATAAGGTGACTTTATGTTGAAGCCGTGTTTTCTCGGGGAATTTCGCCTGGCCACACGCGCTGCGAGCCGGCAAGTCCACATACGGTGTCCATTGCCCAGTTTCAACAACCCGCTCCGATCAAGGGACTGTTCAGTCATCCCTCGCTATCAGACGGTCTCAAGGCCCAGTGCGTCTTTCATCAGATTCTGCAGCAACTCATCTGCTCAACGCGACAGGGCCGACACCATGAGCGGAGAGGAGCCCGTCATCACCTACGATGGCAAGAACTACAGGGGGATAACGGAGGGCAAGGCCACCATCCTGGTCCCCGCCGAGGTCGAGCAGAAGGGCCAACAGGTCTTTTACAACCCGATCCAGCAGTTCAACCGAGACCTTTCCGTTCTCGCCATCAGGGCGTACGGCCAAGAGGTTGTCGAGAGGAAGGCTGCGCAGGCCGCCCAGGTCAGTTCCAGGCGCAAGGACAAGAAGAGACGGAGGGGTGCCGCGGATGAGGGCGGCAACCGGCCGGCCAAGGTCCAGGTCACGGATGACGGCAAGGCCGCCGAGACCGCTACTGATGGCGAGGCGCAGGCGGCGGAACCCGTGAACGGTGTCAATGGCTCCGCCGCGGAGGCCTCGGAGACGGCCGCGCTCTTGACGACGACGACGACGACCGAGGCGCCCGTGACGACTGCCGAGGCCGAGGGCACAAAGGCCGAAGGTGAGGCAAAGTCTGCCCCCGAGAGATCGCGCCCTCGCTTCACTGTCCTGGACGCTTTGTCGGCCTCTGGCCTTCGTGCGCTGCGCTATTCGCACGAGTTGCCTTTTGTCACTTCCGTGACGGCCAACGACCTCACCAAGAGTGCGATTGAGTCGATCAAGCTGAACACGAAGCACAACGGCCTGGAACACATGATCCAAATGAGCCATGACGACGCCATCGCCCACATGTACCGGCGCATCGCGGACGATCTGACGAACCGGGACCGGTTTGGGAACCCCAGCAAGGAGAACAAGTACGACGCCATTGACCTGGACCCGTACGGGACCGCCGCGCCCTTCCTGGACGCCGCCGTCCAGGCCGTGAGAGACGATGGCGGTCTGCTCGCCATCACCTGCACGGACGGCAGCCACTGGGCCGGCCATTGCTACGCCGAGAAGTGTTTCTCGCTGTACGGCGGTGCGCCCATCAAGGGCCTGCACTCGCACGAGGTCGGCATCCGGCTCATCCTCCATGCACTGACGAGCGCGGCGGCAAAGTACGGCCTCACCATTGAGCCGCAGCTGTCGCTCTCGATCGACTTTTACTGCCGAGTGTTCGTCAAGGTGCGCAAGTCGAGGGACGCGGTCAACTACCAGGGCGGCAAGACGATGATCATGTACAACTGCCCGGGATGCTCGGCGTGGGAGACGCAGCCGATGGTCCGGACACGGCCGGCGCCCAAGAAGAAGGGGGGCTACTTTTACAAGCACGGGCTGTCGCAGGGCCCGCCTACCGACTCGCACTGCAAGCACTGCGGCTCGAGCATGCACATCGCGGGCCCGATGTACAGCGGGCCGCTGCACAACCCCGACTTCATCCAGAGCATCCTCGACCTGCTGCCGACCGTCGACAAGAACGTGTACCAGACGACGTCGAGGATAGAGGGCATGCTCCAGACGGCCATGGAGGAGTGCCTCCCCGGGCCAGAGCCCGCGGAGGACCTCGACGCCAAGGACAAGGAGCTGGCGAGGGTGGACCACTACCCCTTCTTCGTCATGCCGTCGAGGCTGGCGGGTACCCTCAGCACGCAGCAGCCGCCGGACGACATGTTCCGTGGCGCGCTCAAGCATCTCGGCTACCGCGTCACCCGCAGCCACTGCCGGCCCGGGAGCGTCAAGACGGACGCGCCGTGGGAGGTCATCTGGTTCGTCATGAGGGAGTGGGTCCGCCAGAAGGCACCCGTCCGCACGGATCGCATCAACTCGCAGATGCCGGCATACAGACTGCTCGGCCTCGACAAGGCGGAGAGCAACGGCGAGGCGGAGGGGCCCGCAGGGAGCAACGCAGAGGCTCAAGAGCAGGCCGAGCCCAAGGACACGCAGGTGCCGGCCGACGTCGAGATGAAGGAGGGTTCTGCGGAGGCGGCCGAGACGACGACGGCGGCGACGGAGGACAAGAGCGAGGAGGAGCTGCGCAAGACGCTCGTTTTCGACGACAAGCTCGCGAAGCTCGGTAAGCGCAAGGAACAGAGGAAGCTGGTCCGATACCAGATGAACCCGCGGGAGAACTGGGGCCCGATGACGCGGGCGAAGGGAGCGTAGGGGGGGTCGGTCTGAGACGAGGAGAATCCATGTGGGTGAAGAGAGAGAGAGGCAGGGAGAGGAAAAGAAAACAACATGTCGGGATTAGTCGAGACGAGGTGCCACAGAATACCAGAGATGAAAATGCGCATTGCAAGGCACCTGTTGTTCCTGTCGACATGTCTCTGTCTCTGCCCCTGTTGCTCGTCTACCTGTGGGAGCGCGCACTATAGCCCACAATCACGAGTCAATTGATCCCAAAGCAAAGACAGCTCGACGGTGGGATGGCCGAGTGGTCCAAGGCGACAGATTTAAGCTTACATAAGCTCTGTTACTCGTGAGAGTGCGCGGGTTCGAACCCCGCTCCCATCATTTTAACATTTTTGCGTGGATGATGGATGTTGTCGGTGCTAGCCAGATTGATTGATGGTGAGTGAAGTGAGTGTTTTGATTGTTTTGGGGGGATGTGTGTGTTATGTGCGCTAACGAGGTCCCTTTTTTCTTTTTCTTCCTGTGCACCTTCCAAGGGGCTCGCTCCCTCACCCTTCTTCCTTGTTGTTCTTTCCGCCGTCCAGGAAGGAGGCGTTCGGTGGCTGTCGGGAGGGGGGGGTACGCTATCCTGCGCGGTGCGGGACACCCCAGGTCGCTCCAGTGCAGCTATCTGCCCCGCAGCCGTGAGTGAAATAACGCAATCGCTGGCTGGATGACACCTGCCTCACTATGTACAGTGTTGTGTTGTGTTGTATTGTATTGTATACACGACATCGCTTACATACTTACATACATACATTAAAACCTAGGGTATCCGTGCAATCTTCCGGTCTGATTCCTGAGCAAGACAGACAAGCCAGCCAGT